AAGACAAGCAGACATTATCACTGTTTGCTTTGGCTTGTCACCAAGGTAGGTTATACACAGACACACACACACACACACACACACACACACTCTCACACACACACATGCACACACACACACACACACACACACACACATAGACTATACACACATGCATACACTATAAACAGACTATACACATACACATATGCATACACTATACACACAGAGAGACTATACACACATATGCATACACTATACAAACACTATACACACATATGCATACACTATACACACACACAGACTATACACACATATGCATACACTATACACAGACTATACACACATATGCATACACTATAGACACACACACACAGACTATACACACATGCATACACTATAAACAGACTATACACATATGCATACACTATACACACACACTGTACACACATATGCATACACTATACACACACTGTACACACATATGCATACACTATACACACACTATACACACATATGCATACACTATACACACTCTATACACACATATGCATACACTATACACACACTATACACACATATGCATACACTATACACACTATACACACACACACATACATATGCATATACAGGGGGGCTAATATTTCAGGAGGGCTCATAATTCTGACTTCAGCTGTTTGTGAATTGGGACGGAGCACAAGTCTTCAAATTTGTAAAAGCTTGAGGGATTTTGGGGCGCAGCGTTAATCATCTCTGTCATATTCATAAACGCCAGGCTGTCACAGGCTTATATGATGTCATTTATTTCAATTTACTGCTCCGGAACACAAGCGCAGCCTCGTCTCGGGGGACGCCTCGCAGAATCAAATCATATTTGGTGCAAATTAATCACATTAAGTCACAGATTAGGCGATAATCCTCTCAGATCTGGTAAATACTGTAAGTGATTGGCGTGGTCTGTGACCCGGCCATCCGCTCGCCCCGTTACCCACAATTCAGTGCTCATCTCTGGGGAAAGAGCGCTGGGTGACACTCTAGATTGGGCCTTAAAAGACGCTCATCTACATAATGACGCTTTAGTAATTGAAATATTGAATGATGGATATTCCAGTATGCTTGTCTGAGATTATGTGTGTGTAGACCGACAGCTGTTTGTTGTTTTGAACTCTGTTAAGCTTATAAAGTAATAAAATGAAATGTTTACATATGTTATAGGGCCAATATAAATGAGGGCCAGACATAATCCGTGCACATTTTTTGCAATTTTACAGAAAGCTTTGTATAAAGCTTAAAATATCTGCTGATTTATGTGGAATTATTTTGAGATTATTATAACAAAAAACTTGACAGATAAAAAAACAACAACACTTTTATCTAAGGTTTACAGTGGACATTCAATTAGAACTGCTTTTTTTTTGGTAAACAAAGTACATCTCTCATATAATTTATCTCTTAAAGGTGCAGTATGTAAGTCTGACACCCAGTGGGTGAACTAGGTATTGCACTCCCAGATCAAAACACATTTTCACTCGGCTCCTCTTCTGATAAGTACGCAAGCGCAGGTTGCCAGATTGACGCGAGTGTGTCTGACTATCGAGCCTAAAGATTGATTTAAGACTGATTTGAACCGTTTTCTAAATAAAAGCAACGGCACACGATAGAAGATAGGATTAGGATTTTTGTCCTAACCATCACCTGAAATTATTATTGTAGAAACGGCTTTAATTTCTCACAGCTGAACAACAGGATGAATGATCAGCTCAGGTGCAGCTCATGTGCTTTATTCAGTGTTAAATGCTAATAATGTGAGTCTGAATGCCATTTCACATCACATTTATTGCCATACTACTGAAAGCAGCAGCAGATAGTTCACCTCAGTCTAAAATTAAACTTCAGAACTGAGACTCAGTGCAAACCAACACATATCAGTGATTCAGCATCTACATTTTATCATGTTAAACAGGTTTATTGTGTATTCATTAGATTATAAACGTTACCATTTGGCTGGAGTGCAGTGAGAGCACTAATCTTTCCCTCTGTGCTTCTGAATGGCTGTATTTACATTTCTGTCATGTTTCGCCTCTTGCAAATTACTCATTACTACAAATCTCGTCATGTAGCATGTTGTTAGGACACAGGGTTACAATGTAACCTGCTCACCTAATTTTTACATTCATAATATTTATATTATTTGCTAATTAATAACCACCATATGTGGAACTCTGAATCTGCGTCTCATTTCAGAGTCTGCTACTGTCCACCGGAAGTCGCAATTCAGTCACGGATGCACACTTTGAGAGCCTTCATGACTGAATGAATGAAATGTGCTGTTTTCCACCATCTGGCAACCCAGTGTCCTAAAATTTAATTGGCTAATCTGGCATTGGGCGGGTTAAATGACCAAAACAATGACAGACGGTCCGGCTCTTAACACACGTTTAAAGCAGAATATCTGACTTCAGCGTTGTTTCAGAATGTTCACTGAGCATGTTTCTGAAAAATCTGCAAACATATTATAGTGTTTAATGTTCTAGAAGAGTCAAAAACTTACATACAGCACCTTTTAAATATTATTATAATTAAATAGAGTGTATTAAAACTAATGTAAATCAAGTATGGAAACATTTGCATTTTATTCAATAATATGATATATAATTATTAGTAAAACTGAATAATTTTTTATATAAACCTGCATTTACATAAGTAAATAAATCTATTTAATGATAGGATAAATAATCTGTGGGTTTTGTAGTCATAAAGTTCGATATAGAGAAAATATGACGAACTATGTAATCTATGAACTATGAAATTGAATTAGTTGAGGCAACACTGTGGCGCAGTGGGCGTAGCACATCGCCTCACAGCAAGAAGGTCGCTGGTTCAAGGCCCGGCTGAGTCAGTTGGCAACTGTGTGGAGTTTGCATGTTTGCATGTTCTCTGGTTTCCCCCACAGTCCAAAGACATGTGGTATTGGTGAATTGAATAAACTAAATTGGCCGTAGTGTATGAGTGTGAATGCAAAATGTATTGCATTCATTTCCCAGTGTTAGGTTGCGCCTGGAAGAGCATCCAAGTTGTATATGATAAGTTGGCGGTTCATTCCGCTGTGGCGACCCCTGATTAATAAAAGGGACTAAGGCGAAAAGAAAATGAATGAATTACGTTAAAAATATCAGCTCCGTTTTATTCAAATAATTGTAGATGCTGATATTCATAAAATCAAACAGTAAATCGTGATCCTTGTAATGTAAATAGTTCTACATAACAATATAGCTACCATGCTACTGTAAATCTCTAATAATTTGTGTTTGTTAATTGATATTTAAATACTTCTTTTTATGGTCAAAGCTGTACTTTCAATATATATAATGTTATGCAATGCAGTCATAAATGTGAGGAGAATGAATAACCCCTCCTCAATAGATTTGAGCTGTTTTATAAGCTTGAAACGTTCATTCACCACTGAGGAACAGAGACAGCAAAAGTACTGGAAATGAAGTTCTTTAAAAGCCCGATGATCAGTTTTACTGCATTTAAACTAATGTTGTTGTTTTTAATAATTATCAATTTATCTAGAGTAGTTTGAGTGCAGTAAATGTTCTTTTTAAATATAAATATATCTACTTTAGACAACATATTAAAGATTTGTCTGCAAAGAAAACCAAAGATATATGTTTGAGCTGTTACTTTATGAGGGATGTAAACAATAACAGTGGTCCAAACATATTTCCTGTTTAACATTTTTCATTTCTAGAGCTTCTAAGAATCCTGAAAGGTTCACATATGATAAATAATGTTACGACAGTCGTTTTAACGTTAGGATAAGATTGAACTGCAATCATCTTACAGTTATTAAAATAGTTTGATAACAAGCAGGAAATATTCATGGGCGAGTGACATCACCACATTGAAATGGTCTATACTAAAATAAAATAAAAACTTGGTTACTAAGTTTAAACTATCAGTCAGACAACCAATGATGTGTAAGTAAATGTACAGTTCAGATAAACACAGTGTCCTTTTTCTAGAGTTAAAAGCATAAGCTGTCGAATGAGAGTTTATGGTCTCTGGTTGATTCTGATGCCTTTAAGCTCAAAGTAACATCAAACTCAAACGTATTCATTTATCCGGACCAGTGGAAAATTAACCATTTCCACATGATGAGTCTGATCCAAACACCACTGACTGCAACATCACGCACACACACACACACATACACACACACATGCAAACACACATTCACACACACACACACACACATACAGTCACTTACTTGCATACAAACGTGCACACACACACATACACTCTCTACACAAATGCATACTCACACACATATGCAGACAAGCACATATAATTACACTGTCGTGACACACAAAATGGCAATAATATGTTTACGTTTAATGTGTTTAGATTTAAGAGTTGATTAAGATGCATTTTTTAAAGTTAGTTTTTAATTAATGGTGTGCTTCTATTTTTATTCTTTTCTGTAGAGCTTGGGTTTAAAGTCAGTGTGAACCGGAAGCTGCTGAAACTTTTATTTCAATGTGTTGATTATTCTGTTTTCGCTGTTTTTGACTGTTTGGCACCATCTAGTGTCTGAATAATATGCTAGTTAGTGTATACTCCATCAGCGTTTTTTTTTTTTGTGTGTCGTCTTTGGGTTTTTGACTGTTTGGCGCCATCTAGTGTCTGAATAATGTGCAGGTTAGTGTATACTCCATCAGCTGTTTTAGTGTCAGCTTTGTCTTTTTGACTATTTGTCTCCATCTTTTGTCTGAATAATGTGCAGGTTAGTGTATACTCCATCAGCTGTTTTAGTGTCAGCTTTGTCTTTTTGACTGTTTGTCTCCATCTTTTGTCTGAATAATGTGCAGGTTAGTGTATACTCCATCAGCTGTTTTAGTTTCTGTCAGCTTTGTGTTTTTGACTGTTTGGCGCCATCTAGTGTCTGAATAATGTGCAGGTTAGTGTATACTCCATCAGCTGTTTTAGTGTCAGCTTTGTGTTTTTGACTGTTTGTCTCCATCTTTTGTCTGAATAATGTGCAGGTTAGTGTATACTCCATCAGCTGTTTTAGTTTCTGTCAGCTTTGTGTTTTTGACTGTTTGGCGCCATCTAGTGTCTGAATAATGTGCAGGTTAGTGTATACTCCATCAGCTGTTTTAGTGTCAGCTTTGTGTTTTCGATTGTTTGGTGCCATCTAGTGTCTGAATAATGTGCAGGTTAGTGTATACTCCATCAGCTGTTTTAGTGTCAGCTTTGTGTTTTTGATTGTTTGGTGCCATCTAGTGTCTGAATAATGTGCAGGTTAGTGTATACTCCATCAGCTGTTTTAGTGTCAGCTTTGTGTTTTTGATTGTTTGGTGCCATCTAGTGTCTGAATAATGTGCAGGTTAGTGTATACTCCATCAGCTGTTTTAGTGTCAGCTTTGTGTTTTTGATTGTTTGGTGCCATTTAGTGTCTGAATAATGTGCAGGTTAGTGTATACTCCATCATCAGTTTCTGTCAGCTTAGCATTTAATTAAAGAATAAATAAACTATTATGGTTTAGAAGTTTTGTCAATTTTTTATATTTTGTGGTAAGTAGCCATGTAATAAGCCGGATAAAGTACACCCAGTTGTTTTCAAACTGTCAGGCTTTTATTCTGCAATAACAACAGCCTGAATGTATTTCACCCCAAACTTAAAGCACTGTGAGTTGACATGACAATATGAATACATATTGTAGTATGCATGTTGTTTTTTTGTTCATGTTAGTTCAAAATTTGTTAAATACATGAACTAATGTTGTAAAGTGTTAGCAAATGATCACTTTTCTACAGGTCAGTGTGTGGGTGAAAGTTTGATGATGAATGTGAAGAAATCTGGAAAGAGTATTTACTGTGTTTCTCAACTATGGGCTGTAATGTAGTGTGTGTGTGTGTGTGTGCGTGCGCTGACCGTCTGTGTTTCTCAGACTTTAGAAGACTGGAGCTGGACGCTGGCTAAAAAAGCCTCGGCTAAAAGCGGCTCCAGTCTGACGCGTTCGGGAAGCGTCAAAGATCTGATCTTCAAGTTTGACGGACCTTCCAACACCTCACCGAAGACTAAAGAGAAAAATAAACACCAGAGCAGAGAAAAGGAGAAAAACGAGAGCTCGAAGAAGAAAATGGAGGAAACTGAGGTGAAAAAAGAGGAGTGTGTACTTATTAAACTCGATGAGGAGATTCGTGATGTCGCTCAGGAGTCGGTAAGTGGGCGTTTTTTCGGTCGAGTCGCCGATCGAGAGTCTGCGTCACTCCCTGTCAGTCATCTCACACTAACCAATCAAATACAGTCCTGCATCCAAGCCCAGCCCACCTGTGTGTCTGCATGAGCAATGCTGATTTACATTAGTTGATTGATCCATTATTTTGATCAATTGATTGATTATTTTCTGTTTTTTTTTTTATTCAATTATTTAATTTTATTATTGTAGTTAATATTATTGTTTGTGTATGTCATTTTTAAATAGGACTATATATTTATTTAAATAATTTTAGGTTTTTTTAGTTATTTAAAAAAAAATAACTTACCATAATAAGTTTCACTCATAATTAAAACTGTTTTATAAAAATTGTTTTTGTCGCTGCTTCACTGTCAATCTGAGTGTCAGTCATCTCACACTAACCAATCAAGCACAGTCCTGCATCCAAACCCCGCCCACCCATGTGTCTGCATGAGCAATGCTGATTTACATTGTTACTGTTGCACAAATATTGTGATTGATTGATTGATTTATTGATTAATTGATTGATTGTTTTAATAATTAATTCATTGATTATTTTAATTGATTAATTGATTGATTATTTTAATTAATTGATTGATTTGTATAGTTTTTTTGTTTTATATTTAATTGTATTTATTTTATTTTGTTATTGTTTTATTATTGTCATTTTGTAATTACTAATATTAGTGTGTGTGTGTGTGTGTGTGTGTGTGTGTGTGTGTGTGTGTGTGTGTGTGTGTGTGTGTGTGTGTGTGTGTGTGCGTGTGTGTGTGCATGCGTGCGTACGTGCGTGCGTGTGTGTGTTTGTGTATGATCAATATCACATGAGTAGCAGTGCAATGAAGCGTGTGTTGTCTCAAGGCCACATGCCTTATGCTGCGTTCACACCAGACGTGGAATGTGCGTAAAGCTTGAGTGATTTACATGTTAAGTCAATGCAAACGCGCGAATAGACAACTTGCGGTGCGATATGCGTGAATGGCGCGCCGCAAATGACACAAATTACGTGATAGGTGCTGTGTGAATGATGCGATACGTGCAAATGCCGCAACACGAATTGAGCGTTTTGCACGTTTGATGCACTTAAAGAGCGTTTCGTGCAAATCGCTCAAGTTCGAAAATTTGAGCTTCAGCGAACATTTGCGCCGCGTTACTAATCAGGAGCTTGCTCTTGTGGGGGCGTGATCGTGACATATCGTTGTTGTTGATGTCCCGGGGGAAATCCTCCATCTGACACCGACAAAAAGTTCATCAAACTGGGCTCGGCTCTGTCAGAAGCTCCGCTAAAAGCCTCCATCATCCAGGTTCAGTTTCTGGAGGAGTTTATGAACTCACAGAGTTGGATGCACCTCTGAAATAAACTACTGGACACAGAAACGGCCCTAAACGTATCAACGCTGTTTTTCAGCCTTTATAAAGCATATAAACACTGTTATTTTGTTCATAAAATCCATGTTAGCCATTTGCCAATGAAGCTAGAGTCAGACAGAAGCCCAGCCCATCATGCGAATCCGCGTCTGTTCTGAAGTGAATTTGCCGTGACGCGCGAATGAAG